CAATCCCTTACCTTCTTCCAGGACGTTGACACACCTTACACCCTCACTGCAACCACCTTACCTCATCTCCAACCTCATCTCTTTACCCCACCTCTACTCCACCCCAACCTCTCACCTTCTTCCACGACACACCTTACACCCTCACTGCAACCACCTTACCTCACCTCCAACCTCATCTCTTTACCCCACCTCTACTCCACCTCAACCCCTCACCTTCTTCCACGACGTTGACACACCTTACACCCTCACTGCAACCCCTTTGCCTCACCTCCAACCGCATCTCTTTACCCCACCTCTACTCCAACTCAACCCCCCACCTTCTTCCACGACACACCTTACACCCTCACTGCAACCCCCTTACCTCACCTCCAGCCTTATCTCTTTAACCCCACCTCTGCTCCACCTCAACCCCTCACCATCTCCTCGACACACCCTACACCCTCACTGCAACCCCCTTACCTCACCTTCAGCCTTATGTCTTTAACCCCACCTCTACTCCACCTCAACCCCCCACCTTCTTCCACGACACACCTTACACCCTCACTGCAACCCCCTTATTTCACCTCCAACCGCATCTCTTTAACCCCACCTCTACTCCACCCCAACCCCTCACCTTCTTCCACGACGTTGACACACCTTACACCCTCACTGCAACCACCTTACCTCACCTCCAGCCTTATCTCTTTAACCCCACCTCTACTCCACCTCAACCCCTCACCTTCTTCCACGACACACCTTACACCCTTACTTCAACCCCCTTACCTCACCTCCAACCTCATCTCTTTACTCCAACTCAACCCCTCACCTTCTTCCACGACACACCTCACACCCACACCGCAACCCCTTATTTCACCTACCAACCTCAAACGCTGTCCTACCCGTTGCTACCACTATCTTACTGTCAAGCCATCCCCACTTTCTCCTCCACAACACACTTGTACCTCGCCCAACCGTACATCGAGCGCTGGAACCACAGTCGATAAGGTAATCCAATTGTGTTACTAGATTGACGCTAAAATAAGCCAGTACTCTTCGGTTTACATATTACAGTTATATAGATGAGGATTAAACACTCAATCCCAGTTGTAATTCCTATCATGTTCGTATCAGTAAGTTCCTGAGAACTTCAGGTCAGATAAAATACATGACCTTTCCTTTGAAACAGCACTTAACATACATATTGTTAACCTGTTGAAATTTCCTAAGCAATGAGTTGAATGTCGAGATAAATGTAAACGTTGTCCTTAGAGCTAAGTGGACTATGACTTCTAGTTTTGGTCAACTTAAGGTGAAATCAATTACTTTTGCTAAATGTACATACGATGTACAGTTTACTTGCGTTAAGTGACTTTCCTAGGCATTGCACTCAATTTGCCTACTCGTACTATAATATCTTAAATCGGATAGTGTTTTCATATGAACATGAACTGCAAGAATAGAGAGCACTCTGGAACTTCGCCAAAGCCTTGCATTAATTATCCTTCGGAGCGGATGTTGTTCTTGTTTGTGGTTTCTCATAAGTGGAGTCATTGCTGTCGATAACTCTAACATTATAGGATCGATGCATCACACGCTGGATTCTTTAACCAGCCCTCAAATATGCTTTAGATCATCTTCGATTATGCATGGTGTTTTTATTTCATTCCACAGTAATAATTACCCTGGGCCCATTTCCATCTTCGTTTCGGACATGACATCAAAGTCACAAACTCTATTGATCCTATCGCTTGCTAAGCACATATATTTTCTTTCGGGTCAAAATATATTGGACGGCTCTTTGAATCGCTAAGTACCATTCAGCATTGATACATATTCGTTCATTGCTGTACATTCATTTCAAAAGTAACGTCAGTTTTACCATCTCAATCAATATCATCTCTTAATTACAACGGACTTTATTTCAAACGTTTATTTTATAGTTGTGTGCAGTTATCCGCCTCGAGATAGCGGAAACTAATAAGGAAACTACAGTAGAACACTGATATAACGAACTCCAAGGGACCAAGAAATTTAGTTCGTTATATCCGTTGTTCGTTATTCACATTTGACCGCCATCTTGGATTGTAGAGATGTAGACATTGATAAATATGAAGTTTATTTTTATAATAAAATTGAAATAATACATCTACAACTTAAATAAATCTATTTTTTAATGAAAATGCAAGCTTACATTTATAATGTTTTTTCCATTTGTGACATGTCATAACATGCCCGTGCCTTTTTCTTTTATATTTTCATTTTTATGTAATCAGGCTTTCAGTTCGTTAACATGACACAACAACGGGAAATACCTCCGTTTTCGAAGCTTCGTATGAATAACATGCGAGGCGAATCGTGTGGTGTCTGGTATCGTTCGACAGCTCTGGAACATCAACAATATCACTGTACTGTAATAAGTTTCAAGCCTGTTCTAACAACCCGTGAAGGTCCGGGTTAGAATTGGTCTTCAGAAACCCATGCTTGTCGTCAAAGGCGACTGACGGGACCATGTGGCCAGGCTCGCTGACTTGCTTGACACTTGTCCTCGTATCCCAATTGAGTAGAGCGTTAGTCTTGTTTATCATTGGATTGTCTGGTTCATTTAGAGACCACCGAGTAAAAAAACACACCCAAAAACACAAACAAGAGAAAGAATTATTAAAAAACTCAAAGCGATACCCGATTCCCGGTCACCGACGACGAATCGGGTATCGCGTTGAGTTGTTTTAATAATTCTTTCTCTTGTTTTTTTTGGTGTTTTTTTTCTTTGTCTATCTTAGAAACCCATGAGTAGTTTTCACAAAATAGAGGTATGTTATTATACATGTTCCTGTGTATATGTGTGATGCAGTACCAGATGATACAGTTTCCTGCATGTACTTATGAAGAACAGTTATGGAATTAGGAATTTAAAAACCACAGGAAATATCAATCAAATATCACCGTCATTTTTGGCTAAAATCTCAATCCTGTTTTAAATTGTCTTAAAATACTCCAATCCTTTCACTTAGAACTTGTGTAAGCACTGCTTTCAAAATAGACACAAAAGACAAAGAATGTGTTTCATTGACGTTGAAACATAAATATGTGAGCATCTTATCCTTGTAACGGGAGTGTTAAGGTCCTATACGACTGTGACTTGAAACAACATAACCGCAACATGATGGTCATTATGAAATGTAAAACCGTAACCCAATGCCTGAGGATTGAAAAAGATGGCGCTACATTAAAATAATTATCAGTGTCCATTAAGTTATAGGAAAGCTCCAGCTGATGGTCGTCACTATTTGTTACAGTGTTGAAAAGAACAAATCCAGCAAATATTCCTGCATATTTAAGATGGAATCGACCTGCGAAATTTGATATGATCTCACATGAATCGATTAGTCTGTAAACATGATACCGGTAATACCATTATCACACTTTTAAGTTAAATAAGGGTATTAAACGGTAAACTGTAACGAGTGACTGTATTTTCGTTTTTTTCTCAAGTGGTCATAGAACACAGAACTTAAATATACATTTCTCTTCTTCATCTATAAAGTAGTCATGTAGTACTGAACGGAAAAATAATGTACTCTTCTCAGGTTTGTAACACGAATGAATGGCTGTATAATCCTAGAAAGGACATTTTAACACTTTCTTACATATGGTCATTCAAGAGTTTGTTCAAAATTGTCTCTGGTCACCCAGCAGAAAATGGGTACCCGGTGGGATAAGTCATCACTATTAACCTGGCGCTTCGAAATTGACAGGCAGCTTAGGTTATCCAGGGCAATAATAATCAGACTGTTACTGCGCTTTGAACATGCTTAGGCATGGATATATGCACGGTGCAAATGTGCTATTATTGACATATATATGTTGACCATGACAATTTCGGTATGTAGCATTGTCGCCCTTTGGTGGAATAACACAATATTTAGTTCGACAAATAGCCACAATGTTGTCGCATCGTCGCTCTGTGGTTAATGTGGACACTTTGTGTTTGTTTTTTGTAAGGGCGACAACGCGACAACGCGACAACGCAACAATGTTTCCTCTATGATTCCCTTTATGTCTACCCGCGTATCTCTGAAGAGTACAATTACTGGGGTGTCTTAATATGATGTTCTCTTCTTAAAGTGTTTTGACGTTAAACCATGTGCGAGAAAATAGAGTCTCTAAAATATATTGAATAGTTAACCAAGTGGGCGGTAAAAAGTGGGAGGAGCTGAGGTCACAGGATTTGGTCGATGTAGCGATTTGCTGTAAGATCTACGCGTGTGGGACATGGCTCCCCACACCATGACGCTGTTTCCACGAAATCTACCCACCTGTCAATTGCACCTCCTCTCACTTTATAACCGCCCACTTTGTTAACTATTCAATATATTTTAGAAACTCTTTGGAACCTGAAGATACTGGGGTCTTCGTAAAGGGATTAGACGGTAAATCGGGTCCCTGGCAATGACGTCATTGAGTAGTCAACCTTAATATTCCTTTCGGATAACTGATAAACTAGGAATCCATGCCATGACAAGTCTAAAGGTTACGTGTTCCAAGAACCAGGTACACGGTCGCGAATCTGTCTGTATCATTCCCATTTGACTTACACATCGAATAAGCATAAAGAATACGGAATCAAATTCACTATTTTCTTCTTAGACGTTTCACAGAATCCACTATGCAAGAAAATACCCTACCCGCTTCTTTGAAAAGTCAAACAAGCCACAAAAGGACATCCTGCTCATCATAGGGGGTCTACCCGATTCATCTCTGACATATACATATACACTGGACACATAATATTATAGCGTGTCTACCCGCTTAATTTCTCAGATGTACATCGAACATTCATCAAACCGTACCTGTTGGTCATACTTGGATACTGTGTATCTCTACATGGCATTATGCATTCACGAAAAGATTTTCAGTATGTTTCGCATGTTGGCAACTAATAGGTATATTACTTTAGTAACTTAATAATATATTAATAATAGTAGGCTTTAGGTAATTTCTACTTAATAAAAATAACTTACCTGTAGAAGGAATCTCAATGCTTTGTGAATCTGATCGTGAAAACACAGCTTGGAGAAATAGTCCCAGTATAAGCATTGTTGAGAAGTATGAATCTTGTTTCCGTGTTATATCTCTATCATATCCCTATATCCGAATTATAATTTTATATCATACAATGCTTCTTACAAATCAGACTGATGAGTTAGTGATACCACACATTCTGTAGTTCATCTGTACAGGGAATATCTAAGTGGAATATATTTCAGAATATGCTCAAGCATGTACAGTAGTGAAGTATCAGTGGTCGGTCTTCTTGGATTTCTTCGTTGATGATCAAGTGGTCAGTGAGTGTCCTTGGACTGGGATAAGTCAAGAACGCATGCACGTTTATCAGTGATGCCTTTGGAACATGTCGCCAATCATTTGATTTACCATTCCCTTGTCTCAAAGTCTACACGATGACGCTCTGTAATACAAGTCTGGGAGCGTCTCCCTGGGTGACTGTCTGTTGATCAACCCTCTCGAAAGAAACTCTTGATTCCGTTTTAAGCCAAGAGTCTTCCTCAAAGTACATAAGATCGAGGTCAATGAAAACTGTGTAGATTCGATAGCTATACGAACGGTATGAATAATGATACATTGATGGATGCAGGGACCTTCCGAGAATACAGTTATGTATGACGGAGGCGTGGATCACACCTGTCAATCATATAACCAAGGATAGAGCACGAGACCAGCGCCAATCGGAAAGTAACTATCGACCTGTGTCAGCAGCTAATCAAAGGAGTACAGGGCATTTACAAGATGGGTCTAATTGTGTTGTAATGTATAGCGTAACCGAATGAATAAGTGAGTGAATGGGTGAGTGAGGGAGTAAGTGGATGAATGAATCTCAGTAATGGAATAAAAGATTTGAATGAATGAATGAATAAATGTGTGAGTGAGTGGGTGGGTGGGTGAATGAATGAATGGGTGATGTGTGAATGGATGGGTGAATGAATGAACGAATGGGTGATTGAGTGAATGAATAAATGAAAGAAGGAACGAATGGTTGAGTGAGTGGCTGAATGAATGAATGAATGAACGAATGGGTGAGTGAGTGGGTGAATGAATGAACGAATGAATGGGTGAGTGGGTGAATGAATGCATGCACAACGATAACAACAGCATGCGGATGGTGAGTGTGTGTGAATGAGTGTATGTGTGTGTGTGCGCGCCCGCGTGACTTTGTGCGAGTATGCGCGTTGTTAAATGCCGCATACTAACTATATGACGGCTGTCTGAGAATTATAGGACCTTAACTGATACTGTGAGTTACCGAGTCACCGAACCTTGCCATCTGATCTCCTTTTGCTACCGGCATTCGTTTGCTTGGAACCATTTCTAATCCTTTATCTTTCTAACCTTTTAAGAATAAACAATTCATGTTGCTTCAATGTTGCGCATGTCTCGGGCTATTGACATTAAAAGATTATGAAATTAGTTGTTTGTTAAACACCTGTGTAAATAGAGCGTAACAAGGCTTAAAAGCTATCGGGATGTTACATTTGATAATATCAGTTTTTAGAAAGACTTGAGTTTAACCCATCATCCATTTGACTTAGGGAGTAGGGTAGCCTGGTGGTTAAAGCATTCGCTCCTCACATCGAAAACCCGGGTTCGATTCCCCACATGGGTACAATGTGTGAAGCCCATTTCTGGTGTCCCCCGCCGTGATATATATTGCTGGAATATTGCTAAAAGCGCCGTTAACATAAACTCGCTCACTTAATTTCCTTTGATACAATAAATATCGAGTCATACAGACACGGCAAAGATAAACTTCTGTCGCGATGAATTCAGTTCAATGAATGTTGTTTTACGCAGCAGCCAACAGCCATGGCACCCTAAGGTATGGCATTTAAATCAAATGTTGACAGCAAGTCCCCTTTGCTGTGGTATTATAGCTTCAGAGCACATTATACTTTCCAACAAAACTGAGCATCGGATGGCAGCGGTGAGGAGACAATGGGTTTGTCTGAAATATTCGATTATAGATTACCTGCAACCATCTCTTCGTGAATTTCATTTCTGGAGGTACGCCTTAACACCTCTCTCTCTCTCTCTCTCTCTCTCTCTCTCTCTCTCTCTCTCTCTCATCTCTCAGACAAACTCCCATTGTCTCTCTATCCAAACGACTCTGTATTTGAGGTATCTGGGACAAAAGCTTTTTCAGAGGGAAAATTCTCTCTCTCGCTCTCTCTCTGCACTGTCAATTCTCAGGACAATTGTGCAATGTTTTATCGTCGAATGAAATGACTGACAACGTCATGTTCCTTGAACCCTTCGCAAGCAGCAGTACCATAAACCAATAATAGGCCAAGGTTTGGTGACATGGCATTTTTCATTGGTAATCTTGGAATGATTTTTTGGAGAAAGAGTGTGTTAAATGTTTTTTTAATTGCATGGGGTTTTCGAGAAGCATTACATATTCGCAAAAAGTGCCAGCAATGTTAACATTAAAAGACCACACAACCTGACGCTTATCATTTCCTCTTAATGTAGTCTAAAGACGAGCACAAGCCAGGCGAAAAATCTTTATTCATAGTTCGACATGCCACGCCTCTGGAAAAATGACAGATGGAGACATATAGAGCGGGATCGGGTGGTCAGGCTCGCTGACTTGGCTGACACATTTCATCGTATCCCAATTGTGTAGATCGATGCTAATGCTGCTGATCATTGGATTGTCTGGCCAAGACCCGATTACTTACGGACGTACAGCTGGAGCATTATTGAGTGGGGCATTAAACAAACAAACAAACAAGCAAGCAAGCAAACGTTGGACATCTCTGGCATACTTCCAGCTCCACGTGCACCTTAACGTCCCATTACCTGTGTAAGCTATGACGAAATCATATTTTCAGCTCAGCTCCTTTTTCCACAAAGTCATGTTGCGTGACGAACATTCACCCCAGAAATGTATTCTCAGAATGTATTAAAAACAAACCTACACATGTACAGTCATCTGATCGATATTTACGTCAATAAACATCACTTCCGACGCAAATGGAGGTGAGAGAAACAGTTAAACAATTTAAAAAACATTTATTAACTTAAAGTAATCAACCCGGTTTGGGTAGAGCCATTGAGGGAATTAAATTCATTAAAAATTGAATACAAACACGAGTATAAGGAATCTGACAATAATGTGACTCACATTTTATTTTAAATCAAAGGGTAATTTTTTATAATAATAGATAAGCATTATCGCCTGACGTGTTGTTGTGCGGAGTTGCCTCCCTCAGTCGTCTAGAGATTAGCTGATCGTGGCTTCGAGTCCTAGAATACTACCTTAGAGTGATGCTTGATTTGTTGGCAACACTAAAGAGAACGTCTTCTAACAGTGAGGTTGAAGGTTCGAGATCACAAAGTGACCAAAATCGAGGATACATTTTCTTTCGTTGAATGTCCTAGTGTGTTGAAGCGCCGCAATGATCTGGTCCGAAAATCCTTTGATCCTTCCAAATCCGGTGACTCCTACTTCTGGTTTGTCAGCACCATGGTGGTCGTTTCAGATTGGCAGCTTGCATCACTTCCGGTTTTCCTCCTGCATCAAGCAGACACCACGCGAAATAACTGAAATACCATCCCAAGCTTCGTTAAAACCAACTAACGATCTCTAGTTTCATTTCACGTCGTCCAATATCTCCAAATTAAAAACTTTTTTCCTGAAATAAAACACAATCAGTTGCTGAGAGTGGTTGGTTTGTACATTTTCTCATGTGGATAATCTGATCTGAAGATAATCTCAAGATAATTTCCACACATAATGACGCCACCTCAGCCGTGAACTATTGCAAATTAGCCACCTCACAAACATAGTAGAACAATATCCGGTAGCCAAAATAATCAAAATTAATGTAAAAATGTCCGTTTTCATCTCATTTCACACAAATACTTAATTTGCGTTCAATATGATATAAAAGATGCATGCTGATAGAAAAGCCTGTAACATACCGACCACTGTAAAATAATGTTGTATCGGACAACAGCCCAGGTTTTCCACCATCAGTCATTTGCCGATTGATTTTCCGAGGTCGTCTTGTGAACATGGAAAGACGGAAGCCTATTAATATTGGTGGATTCGACGCGAAGAAGCTTTATTGATTCTGGAATGTGTCTAATATTCATTTCCTTACTCGCGCATATAGAGTTCAGGTAATTTATGGAGTCGGCCAAACCCAAATCAAAGCCATCAACAGTTTCTGGAAGCATCAATTGATGTAATCAAAATACTGAGATAAAATTATGCTTGACATATTCGTCATTATTCGCGGTAAGTGACCTGTTTACCTGAACGTCCACACCCATAATAAAATCAGGAGGGACTAACCTGGTTAGTGAAGATCTGTTTAGGAGACGACGACAATTACTGTGGTGAGTAAGTGCGTGGGTTTGGTTTTACGCCGCTCTTAGCAATATTCCAGCAATATCACGACAGGGGACACAAGAAATGGGCTTCACTCACTGTACTGATGTGGGGAAGCGAACTCAACTCTTCGGCGTGACGAGCGAACGCTTTAACCACGAGGCTACTCCATCGCTCCTGCGGTGGTGAAAATGACGTGTCACTACATAACTATGAGACCTAGCTGGTTAGTGCCAGGTTTACACGAAGAAGTTGGCTAATTTAAAATCAAATTAGAACCTTCAATTAATTTGTTTTTGTAATAATATACGTTCCGTTTGTAAAATATAAGTTATAACCTCCATTTATCTTACGCATTTTGCAATGTGATGTTAATATCATGACCATTTGCATAGGAGTGACTGAGTTTAGTTTTACGCCGCTTTCAGCAATATTCCAGAAATATCACGGCGGGGAGCCCCAGAAATGGGCTTTCTCTTATTGTATCCATGTGAGGAATCAAACCCGGGTGTTCGGCGTGACGAGCGAACCCTTTAACCACTGGGCCAACCCATCGCTCCTTTAAATAGTTAAAGTGTGCCACTTCAACATTGATCTGGGCATTACCGCGTATCTAAGCCATACTGGGAATCAATTTGTGATTTGTCGTTCAGAAGAGTGTCATTGATTATCGGGATCGGCGGTCTCAGAAATATTTAAAACATTTTTAGAAATGTGAAAATCCTG